GTATTTTATACCTTCGTAAATATTTGGTGATGAAAACAAAAGGATCTGCCCAAACTTGCAAACATTTTACAATACCGGACAGGTTATCAACGCATTTTCGTTAACCAATGATGATCCTAATTTTCCAATACTCTGTATACGAAAATTAAATTATCAAAATTTTCATCAGCTTCTGAAAAAATATACTTAAGTGATAGATAAATTACAAATTACATGAACGAATTTCAGTAAGTCTTTTACAAATTGAACCAAATCAGAACTAAACCAAACAAAAATATTTAACACACAAAATTAAAAACAGATTTATAATCTTCCCTACTGAAGTAAGAATTAATTGGTACATACATGACGTATAAAAAGTTAATACCTTTTCATGAGTTACATCGACGGTTATTTTTACTCTAGATGTCAAATTGTGTCACTTCCATTCCCAATCGTATTGTGTGATCCGTCCCTGTTTATTATGCAAGTATAGCTCATCCCTAGAGCTGTGGGGTTTGTTCAGCCAGTGCTAGTGGTACTGAATACATTATGAGGGTCTTTATCTATGAATGGATAGCAAATAGTGTCTAATAACTATTTTGCATACACTGGTATTTAAATGTGTATGTTATCTAACTGTATTTATGAGAATGGTTTTTAGAAAAGTGTTTATAAAATGTATAAACATGTCCGTTACAAAAGTAATTTTGATTGATAATTCGTATGCAGCCGCTGTTTTGCATACAGTTAAGGAAAGTTGTGTCTACTTCCAACACGAGTAGTATCTTTGACTATTAATACAATATGATAGTATTTATTTAATAATACAATCTCTTTTCTGTATTATAAGTGGCTTCAGATTCTGCGTTTTCATTAAATAAAACTTAAAGCAGACCATATCTGCTATTTATTTATTTTAAATTTTGAAAATAGCTACTTCAAGACTATTGATATCAAAATATCTGTGAATTTTATCAAATGAATTCTCACTACGTAACATGAAGCAATTTAAATTCGTCAAATTGCATATGTGCTCCCTTGTGGATTATACATATTCTCAATAATACATGATGCTACAAATCAAATATGTATTTTATGATTTTTAGTTCTAATTCAGCAATGGCTTTCTAGTTAGTGAAGCTTTGACTGAAAATAGTCTTGCAATTAACCCAGTAAAATCCCTCTTGAACCGAGTTCCATCATCCAGCAAAAGATAATTTCCTGTTGCTGGATTTTGCCTGAATTGCTTCCTAAACTCAAACTACAGTTTGGAAGAACAAATACGGCAATTGCTCAACAGTTCGCAGTCAATATGCTTAATTATTGTGGCTACACGCTGTAATAATTCTGCTTGCAATAATATTCTCTCGCATTAATCTATTCTATTTAAGGCAGCTATGGTTTTAAAGATCCTTTCTTTATGGTTACACAATGTATTGATGTTATTTATATTTTAAGAAGTGTCTGCTTATTGTTAAAGTATATTAAATAGTCATAAAGAATTTCCATAGAAAACCTCGTAGGTTTCTACATTATATGTGTGTTAAAAATTCCAATATTTACTAGGTAAAATTGCTTTAAAGCTACATTGGCCACAAATAATAGACTAATGATTGTGGTTTTTAAAACCTAGCGTTCAAAAATTTTAGATTCTTTGGTTTAACATGTTTTTTCGATTTACTATTTAATCAAAGCTTTTATATTTTTGTCCAAACAGTTTAAATTAATGAGTTCAAGTCAACAAACAAATGAATGTGGCGTAAAGGGTTTAGATGAAAGAAATTGACTCTTGTTCAATGTTATTTGCTCGTTGTTTCAATTTCCCTTCCCCCAATTTCAGAACATTTCACTGTTTTGCCAAATTAAGCTTAACGAAAAATGAAAATTACTTTTCGAAGATTTTGATAACCTTAAAATTGCACTTACAACAAGCATTTTTTAACATCTACATCACAACTTATTTATTTTACATATTAGTTTTTTTACTGAAAAATGATTCAAGTATGTCAGGACTTATCTGGTCAAGTGGTTAGAGCGTGGGCCTTAAGTCCTAGTGTGCCAGAATTAAAATCCCTCCTATCACCAAACTATCGACACAGACTAAAGATCGAAATGGCAATTATTTTAAGTTAAGAGTAACGCTGCGACCTGGCATTTCAATCCTACTTAAGCTATAGATCTATTCATGAAGTAGGAATAGATGGATTTCTTCAAAAAGGAGAATTGTCTCAGTATAAAAAATTTCCCTCCAAGAAAAATGCTGTGCCTTTTTAAAAATATTTTAATATATTTAAAATATTTTAAGAGTTTTATTATGTTTCAAGGATGTATTTACTCTCACTCTTTTTAGTGAACCATCTGTTACCCGAGTGTAATAAATTGCTTGGGAAGGTACAAATTCATCTTGAAACCAATCTTTAAAAGAGAGTGATTGAATTGGGTTCCTAAAACCATTGGTAATTTGTCTCCGCTTCAACCAAAATACATTTGTATCAATACGCTCAATAATCTTCCGTATTAAGAAGCATTTCAATTCATGAAAAAGATGTAGGCCTCTGTATAATTTAAACACAAAATTAATTTTTAAATGTGATGTCGTAATTTAAATGTACTAACCCAAGTAATGCTTTACTAATGAATTTGTTTAACCTTTTTACAAGAGAGACAAAACTGAACTTTTTGAAAGTTTATGATTGATGTAGCACTGTTGATATTTCTGTACTTTTGTCGTCAATTTAGCTTAGAGTTCATATTACAGATTGGTCTTAGTGATATTAACCAAACAAGTTAATCAATCAAACTATTTTACTCAATAACTTACTTAATACTAAATAAATCCTTAATTTTGGTTAGAAATGTGTTATGTGCAAGTTTGTACTTCATTCACGTACTTATTTTCGTCACATAAATAAACATTCACCCAAACAAAGAAGTATTTTGACTCAAGTTTTTCCCCCATGAATTCAATATATTGGTTACTCTTGATATAAGTACAGTGTCTTAAAACTTTAAATTCATCGAAATAAGCTTAAATATTTTTACAGGTTTTTATGCCCCTTCAAATTTTGCATTTTTGTCAAATTTGTTTTTTTCATACTGTACATATGAATTTATAACACGTAAAAGAAAAGTTATGTTATGATATTATAGTATTTTGGTACCAAAATACATTGAGCTTTTAAAATAACTACATTATTTGTTTGTTTAATGTAAGTACTTTGTCTTTTTGGAATCACTGAAATGTTTTCTATTTGTCAACTATGCCGGAATCATTTACACACAAGGTTTCATATTATCTATTTCTGCTATGAACATTTGCCAGGTCCAGGAATATCATCTCCCACCACAAGCTGTCAAAACAGACATTTGTGTCTTGTTTACAGTTATTTTCGGTGTTGAAAACATTTTTGAATGGTCTTACATTCACCTTGAGGTGTTACTTTGTAAAATATTTGTTATTTTCATATGTTTGGTGTGTGGAAATAATTTTTACACCCACATAATGTATGATACACTAATATTAAATTTGTGCACCGTTTAAGTCTGTTTTATTTTAATGGGTTTTCTTTTGTAATTTTCAAACCAATGTAATGATACTTTCCGGTAAACCTGCTAAATGGATAAAAATAATAGTGTGTGATTTTTTTTTAATTTTAAAAGGAACATTTAAATTGCTTATTGTGACTAAATTTTGTTTCTGTAAAAATGTTGTACTGTATTCTGTTTCAACTAAAAACTTATTGAGTGTATACTTGCAGTATTATAGGGATGAAGTAATTTGATGTGATTTTGAATTAATATGACTATATCACGTATAATTTGTTGTAAGCTAACTAATCATTGATATAGGAAATTTAAGATTTTTGGACACTGAACAAATTTATTACAGTAATTTACAAAAAATATTAAGTATAACACACGTATGACAGGCACCCTCCCATATAATTTAACAATATAACAAAGGTAATGTAATATAGAAAATAATTAACATGTTGGCGAAGGGTTTAACAACAAGCTTGTTATGGGCACCATTACACTGTACATGAGTTTCAGCCCACATCCACTGAAGGTAGCTAACTGTAGACTTGTTTAGTTTTAATGGTTTTAGATGTAAGTTGTATCCATCCTAACAAAGATTATACAGTAGCTCAAAGACCATATTTTGTTCTATGCAACATCCTTAATCTTAATTGTAGACTTGAGTTTTTATCAAAGTCTGACTGTCATATATTGTTTTCTTCCTGTAAATAATCATCGTAAACTTCAATTATGCAGTGTTAAAAATTCTTTAATCTCAGGAGTATTTAGTTTATTTGTACCTCCATCACCTATTTATGCACTACCATTAGAAAGTATAGGAATCTTGTGGATGTTCTAGCTGCGACTTTTGATGAAACCATTTCATTTCAACCAACCAGACCCCAGTAACGTGCTTGGGTTCTGGTATAAAAGTAATAATATAGGAAAGTATAGGAATCTTGTGGATGTTCTAGCTGCTGCTTTTGATGAAACCATTTCATTTCAACTAACCAGACCCCAGTAACGAGCTTGGGTTATGGTTACCAAACTATCATTAAAGATACATCATACTTTTGCAGTAGGACCAAACTTGAAGCACAAATATCATCTTGTAATCCAATTAGATAATGAACCAAGGTGCAAGTGCTGTTTTTACTAAACGATATATCTTTATCAGTCTTCTACGTAAAATATTTTAACGTTGAACCAAAATACGGCAGTGTGCAAGAAAATAACAATTGGAGATATTGTCCATGTTCCGAGATGCTAATGTGAATATCGTGTCATTTAAGATGGAAAGCAACATAACCAACTGTGATGTGGGAAAGATTCTTATACACATGTGCAACCTGCTTGCCACTGACTATGTCATGTATAATTTATTGACACTACCTTTACCAAAACTATTTCTTAACGATTGATTCCCTCTTCACCTAAAGAAGTGGGAATAATCTCCATGTTAATGTTTCCAATATACCAACCACTGTGTTTTGTTCCAGGTGCTTTGCTGAGGCGCAGTTCCGTAGACGTAGAGAGGCGAAGGTTATCACTTGGCGCAGTCTCGACACCTCACCGCGCCTCCGACGCATGCCTAGATCCTCACCATGCAGCCATACTGTTCAGAGACTCTAGAGGGGTGAGTTATAGATTAAACATACTCCCTTAGATATGTCATCCTTATGGATCAGCTGAAGACTATTTATTTGTTAGTTCCATCCGTTACCGATAGGGTCGTGTTTCTTTCTTGTTATTTCGTTTTTCTTTCGAAATTGCGGCAAAATCGTGGTTATATATTCAGTTCGTGGTAAAAGAATGATAATCTGAACTACATTTATAAGTTTTGAGTCTGAGTGGGGACTCTCTAACAAGTAAAACACCGCTTGCATGTTCAGTGTGTTTAATAACATGGCGTTAATCGTTATTCAAATTTGTTGTACACTGAAAAACCTTTCCAGGCAAGTTCGGCAGAGTACGTGGGCAATCGACAGAGATCGGGCATACTTGAAATAAAATTACCTGTTGGTAGTAGCATTGACTTTATATCTACACTCAACTATTGAGAAACTAATGTATAACCATGTGGCTTTATGCAACCAAGTAGATGCCTGTTATTTTTTATGTAGTCTGAAGTTGCAAAGATCATTAGATTCGAGTCTTAGCCTAAGTGCATTCTTATTCAAGAAATCGCCGTTGTAGATTTGCGGACGACGACGACGTCTTGAATTAATGTCCTTTCCTCTATATTCCATTTACTGTTGAAGTGCTGATGCAAAGAAATGTTAATGAATGAAGAACTTACAATGCTGTTTCACATTATCAGAATGTTGACAGCTATGAGTTTAGAATTATTGTAATGTTTAGCCTATTTAAGTAAAAATATTTTTTATACCCGCGGTATATGGTGTAGCCGTTTTATTTAATAAAATTTCATAATACTGCATCTATCAAAATCAATGCAATATATTTGCAAAAAAAAATCTAAATCATCCATTTAGTCAACAAAATGTTATTTTTGTATTAAATTCACTATTGTAACTGATATTCTTTATACATTTTTATTATTAGTAACTTCATAGATTAGTGAACTGTGTAGAATTTCATTGGGGTTTTAGAAGATAAAGTTAAATAACCTGTAGATAGGCCTAATTCACTCTCAATTAATAACTTCACACAAATCTATGTTCTAACGAATATTTTCCTAACTACAGTATTGGAAAATATTTCACAACCTATACCAACTACCATTTCTTGTCAGAATGACTACCTCAGAACCTAAACAAGTGGGTTTTTATAGAAATATATGATATTGAACTTCATGAGATTTCTGATGATATTGTGATAACAATGTCACTCAAGTAATAACCAACGGGTTTCTGTGTCATGTCACTATGTCAGTGTAACAAGCCAAATTAACTCACTTTAATGTAACGCAAGTTATAATCTTTCCCTTGTAAGGGAGAGATTACCGTTAAAATTCAATAGTTCAAGTATATTGCCACTGAAAATTTAAAAATATCGTTGAGAAATTCTCTGTTTTTTTTTTAAACAGAAATTTTTTTTTATAATAGCTTACTTTCTGATTTATTTAGCTAAGTTTAAAACATTATTTCAGGATTTTAGACATTTTCCAACCTCAATTGTTATATAACCTATTTTTTTTTTTTTGTTTTTTTTGTCCTAAGGACGCTAGGCACGAGCCTGGGATTGTTTTCCACATTACTTCAGGCTAGACCTAGGGGTTACGGCATTATCACTTAGATAAAATCCATTGGTGACTTGGCGGGGATCGAACCCGGGATATAACCTATATTGGAGATATTGGCAATTAATAATGAAATGTATAATTAAATTTACAAATTCAACAAGGCCAATATATAAGTGAATGAAATAAAATTTATATATATTGGCCTTGTTGAATTTGTAAATTTAATTAGGTATACATTTCATTATCAATTGTTATGTTAAATTCTTATGTTGATTCATCCTTTATCCCCCTAATTTGTCTACACCAAAATGTGTGTGTTTTTTTTTTTACTATTGCTATAACGGTTGTTGTGTAAGAATATTTCCTTATTAACATAAATTTTCATCGACAGCTATTAAATTTACAGATTTAATTTTACTGTTAATATTATTGAAACGATGAGATTATATTATTTGAGCTTGATATTTTTACTATAGGCAGAACTTAAGTTTTCACACCAAACATTACAAGAATAATTAATCTATTATTGAATGTTTAAATAATTATCCTTCAATGCACATTTACTAATCCAGGTTTTGGAGTAATAAATTCTGTCTTATATTTGATTCGTTTGTGTTTGGTTATTAGTACGTATTTAAATGTGTCACACATCCTCCCTAAATACGTACTAATAACCAAACACAAACGAGTGTAAGGAACATATAGGTGTAAGAGTAATCCCTGTCGCATAATTAAGCAATAACAAAGGCCGGGCATTATACAAAGAAAACAATGAAAACAGCCGAGTAGGGTCTTACAATGAGCTTATTACAGGACATCTTTAGTAAACGCAGATTTCAGCCTATATACCCAGTGAATATTATATTTTACTCGATGTATACCATACATTTTTTAGCATCCGGTAATCTATTTCTCCAAGTTAACTATTCAATTTGAGCACTTAAATTTCTGTGTGAAAAATCTGTATACCTCTTGAATATACTTCCTACATCTTTTACAAAATTACTTAACTTTGTGCCTCTTCAGTAATTTTGATTTGAATTGTTATGACATTTTTGTGTCATCAGTAGTTTGTTGACACATTTCTGCATTTCTGCAGAAATGCATTTTTGTTTTGTACTGCATTTCTCTGCAGTAAAAGCTACACAAATATTATGTGTTGTTGATTGACTTTTTTTATGTATTCTAAAGTTTTTTTTCTCAGAATTTCAAAACGGCTCCAGACAAAATAAAGAAATATTGGTTTACTTTTAAGTTTAATACCGAATGTTAAATTGATAGATTATTGTTGGAATCATATTAACTCGCCCATTGTGTATTTGCAGTTGACGTGCTATTCTATTGAGTTTTTTGACGGGGATTCAATGCTTCATATTTGTACGGTACTTAATGAGATGGATGCTTCGTGTAAGATTGTTAAAGAATACAATCAGCTGTTTCTATAACCAGTACCATAACATTTTAGCTAGAAAAACAGAGTCCAAGTTTCAAACTAGCGAAAAGTTACTGACTTTACTCAGTATTGAACCAGCAACCTTGTGATTTTTAGAGCTGTGTTCGGTTCCAATGACACTAAGGTTAGAATCTGACAAGCAAAGCTGTAGGATACACAGCACGTGTTGTGCCTGTTGCAAATAGGTTGTTGTCATAGCCTTGCCACACAATGTAGATCAACCAGTGCCAAAGTGTTCCCATTTATAGTCAGCCTCAGCCTCTTGAGTTCTGGTGTTACTTTGGCAGTACAGATTTATTAGATTAGATCCATGTACAAGTACACGCTGATACACTAGGGTATGTATTTTAAGAGGGTTCTACCCGGTCAATTCAAGATGGCGGCTAAACATGCCGTTACAGTTCAAGCTCTCAATACATTTGTTTCCAACGAGTGTGTGCTTTTTGTGCTCTTAACATATTAGAGTTTGCAATGAATGGGGACAAATTAATGTTTAACTATTAGAAGCTAAAATCACATGTGAAAAAGAATAATTTACGGATTTTCTAAATTATTTAAGTACATAAAGAAACAATTACGAAGTTTCAGTTCATCCAGGGGCCCATTTCATAATAAAGTACAAACTAATATTATTAGTAAATCAGCTGATCGCCCAATGCAAATCTAATGGAAATTACAAGTTACAAGTTGTAACTTGTAACTTGTAGTTTATTATGAAATGGGCCCCTGGTCATAGTTTGGATCTTTGTAAATATTTTACAGTTTGTTTCAACTCGATTAACGCTTTAATAATGCAAGGAGGTTCTTTTTTATAGGACCATGTTTACAACAACCGGCGGGTGGTTCAGAAGATAAATCAGCTGTTCTTGATCGTTTTGGGTTACAATAAAATGGTCCTGGCTAATAAAACAGCTGATCTTAAACAATAACGAAGCTACACAAATCACACACTAAGTTCAGCATTCTAGAATGTTATTCAGCTTAAATACAAGATATAAACCACATAAGTTGTTGTCTTGGTCAAGTGATTATTTATAAAACTAATTTTAACCTCACGGAGTAAGGCCATTAGTAGTACAAAGTAGTACTTAGCATTTACTATTGGATACTGAAGTTGTATTAATAGTCAAAATTAGTACGAGTATTAAAGTAATAATAGTAACCACATATAAATTCTTTTTCTTGAACAAAACACAATTCACATCAAATTTTGCTCCTTACCTCAACCTCAACTTTACGCCTTCATAAATTCAAAGGTAATTGTATAAGCCCCAACTAGGTCTACTCGGAAAGTAACAGGTCTATAAATAAAATTTGTTGTGCCATAAAGTTGGGCTGGGCTTATAGCTTCCCACTTTTATTACCCATGTTGTAAACATGTAACAATGCATGAGGATAGGCGAGTATTCTCTATGAATATGAAATAGGACTTCCAATAGTGGGCTGTGAATAGCAAAATAGGAATAGGAGATTGTAGTGGGATGAATAATTATTATCACTGAATTATAATTTTTGTGCAATTAGAATATGTATGGTTAATTCATGTCCTGAATCCCCTTATTTAACTTTTTAATTGACGATTTCTGGTAAATAGAACCCATTTCTGAGTAATAAAGACAAAATTGTTGAGTGAAATAGCGTATTTTGATATTGTCCCAAAATGGAATATTTTGGAGGAAGTGTCCGATTTTTAACGTAAACAACAATGAATAACATTTCACTTTGGTCTGTGAAAACCAAGAGTCTCACGATAAATTTTAACTAGTAAATCATTTTAGTCATTTTAAATGTTGACAAAAAATGTCCGTTTGTTTGTATAGTTAACCTTTAGGCATAAATACATTCTTTCAACTCTTCCAGGCATTACTAGTCAAAGAAAAAGTACAAAACCCCTGAAGGAAAATTGCAAATTTTACAAATAGTGGATAGATGAACCCAGTGGGCACTGCACTAAAACACATGTACATGCACAAATGTG